GGACGACAGTGCCTGACATTTCGTTTCGGAGGTAAAATTCACACCATGGCTGTCGTCTGAGATCGATTCCTGAGTGCAAGACTAATTTTCCCCATTCTACCTCATTCTACCTCGACATCGGTGTTCGTCGACGATCCTGCGTCGAGAATCCACGGCGGGTTTAGGAAACAGGTGAGAGAGAAAGTGCGACGCGGCGTGGAGTGCGTCGCGCTTTTCTCCCGCGATATGTTGAATGAAAAGTCTCGCAGAATTTTTCGGCAACGCTAGGAAATATCGAGCCGGGGGATGAGGTACACGACGTGGACACGGAGATCCCCGTCATCCCCAGCGAAATCGTGAAAATGCGGAGTGGTGGTGGCTCACCCCCGGCGCGACGGTCTCACGCTCCGAGCAATATGGCCGCTCTCGAAGGGCGCTTTGCACCCAACGAGGGTGACTTAATTCAAACAGCGTGGGTGAAATTCGTTTGGTCACGCGAAGGAATCCCATGAGATTTCTCGTGGGTGTAAGCAAAGCATGAACAGTTTGTGCCGATACTTCGCGACTTTATTGTTAAATCGCTCATTGCGACCGCTTGCCAGTCTGCTCCGTTGAGTAGGAACGTCTTTTGTCGTGGACATTTATTTCAATTAAACTACTAATCCTGTGATCTTAAGTGAAATTATATAAGAATTAATTTTGCAGATACTATTGTTCTCTGAAATCCTTTTAAAAAGGCAGAAAAATATGACAATATATATATGTATATATATATATATATATATTTTTTAGAAATATTAAAAAATTACTAAAATGTATAAAGTGTAAAAATAAAAACTATCATTTTTAATTAAAAATTATTATTAAAATAACTATCTTGATAATGATAATGTGAGTTAGTTATTTTATTTAATAATACCGTAAAGAACATGTAAGTTTTTAGCGCGAGTGATATATTTTCAGAAGGGATATAGTTTGGAGAATGGTAAATAATAATGGCGAAAAAAGATTTACAAATCCATGAAGCACGTGTTAAGTACGTAATATATGTTGACATCGATCGTATCTTATAAATAGTGAACTTTGCGATAACAACACGTAACTATACACATTAAATATTACAGTGCTTTTTACGATTATATTACTTTTCCATTATACAATCTTGACTACAAGTATCCTCAAATTTATTAAATTTTTTTGGAAAAGGTGGTAATCGAAGCCAACAGAAGATTTAAAAAATATTCAAAATTGTTATAAAAATAAATATTTTTAATGGAGTTATTTTTTAATTTATATGTCATTACACATAGAATATTTACGAAAATATGTGATTACGTTAAAGATGTTTATACTCATGGCGAAAAAGATGTATTTCAAACCTCTTCCAATTTTAAATCAAGATATTTTAATATTTCCAAATTAGTTACTCACTTTCTAAATGTAACAAAGTTTTGTTACAAAAAATTAAAAATAATCTTTTTTGAAAAAAAAAATCTTGTTCGAAAGATTAATATAAGATTTCTTAACTCAAAACCTTATCCCCCCAAATTCTCGCACGGAATGCAAGAGATCCGGGTTCGACTCCCGGCCGAGGCAATATTTTTCGCAATAAGTTTATTACAGTTTTTTCAGATTTGGGTGAATTTGGGGGGATTATCAGAGTGATTGTGTGAATCCGATAATTTATCGGCTCTCAATTTAATTCTGAAATATTAATTCAATTTAATTGAATGTATATTGGATAGTAGTTCAACATCTTAACACTAGGACCGGGAAGGCGCTAGGTATTTAAAGTGTGGCTGTATGCTCTTTTTCATTTAACCTTTATTTTATAGCGTTCTGAAAAGCTCTCGACAGCGGTGTGGTCGAAACACCCGGTGTATATATATTATACACGTGCGTGCGTGCGTGCGCGTGCGTGCGCGTGTGCGTGCGTGCGTGTGCACATATACATACACAAAATTGTTACTGTTCACGTTTCCGCTCTAAAGAAAAATTATATAATTGATCCCTTAGCGAGAGTATACACAAATTATAATTCGTCTTGATTTGAATTTTCCTTTTCTAAAGAACTCTCCAGAAACGAGATAACTGCTTAAATATCGCTTTTGAACATCCTGAACTCTTTTGACGCTCGTATAATCAGCTTGTGGTGTCACAAAATTCGTTATTGGTTTCTTGCGGAAGACGGATAACGGGCATTTATATCTGGTCGATTTGGCCGACGAGTTATTATTTTGTAGCATTAAGGATGAAAACCGGGTAAGGGAGAAAACCGGTCGGCGACCCACGTGGCCTATTGATTTTCTTGTCGCTTGACACTCTTTCTCTCTCTCTCTCTCTCTCTCTCTCTCTCTCTCTCTTTCTCTTTCTTACTGTTGCCGCCGTTAGAAATTGAAACAGCCCTTTTGCCATCGGTTAACGTCGTTCGGATATAAGCGCTCTCGAAAGGATATTTGAAGGTACTTGAGAAAAGTATTCAAGAACATGCGAGAATCGCGTATTCTTTAGGCGATACGCAAGTCGGAAGTTCGTTGCGCGCATAACTTAGAGCTAATTATGAAATGACGCGAACCGGCAATTCACTCACGCTTCGTACTCGTAATTTTCTCGGTGACAAACGCAGCCTACGCCATAATTCTGCTTGAAATAATCATGAAATGGTCTTCATCGGATATCATCTGGAAAACTGTTCTCTCTTTATACAGTTACGACATTCGCCAGCGACGCTTACAGTCTGAAACTCCATAAAAAAATGTTGAAAAAAGAATTTACTAATAGCTACTGTGTTTAATGAAATAATGCTAATTAAATGTTTGATTAATACAATCAAACATTTAATTAATATTATTTTATTAAATTTTTGATAGTTATAAAACCAAATTCTTTTTTCAATATAGGTAATATAGAAATAGGAAATGACGGACTTATTAGAAATCGTGTATTTTTGTAACACTGCTTCTGATAGGTAGAAATCTCTTATTCCCTGTTTCTACTGTCTATTTTAACTGTACATTATGCTTAACGGATACGATTTACGTATGTCTCATTTCAATGTAGATTAACTTTAATCTCGAATCACACAACATACTTTTCATTTTTTTCTAATTCTTAGAAAAAGATAAAAGTAAATTGAATTGAGATAGATTACTGAGATAATCTACATTGATGAGAAATAAGCATTAGATAAATATTGATACTTATAATGTAATGTCTCGCGAAATTGAGATGAAAAATGATAGAAATATAATTTTTATGCGGTATACATATTACATTATATTTATTAATATTTATTAATACCGAAATATTAAGAATCTTAATTTTAGAATGGTTAAGCCTTGGATTGACTCTACAGTTATGAATGCATAATATTGCGCAATTCTAATAGCGTTTTCCAGATAATCTCCCTTTTTTACACCAAAGATATTTCAAAATGATTATAGTTTTATACAATATAGTTTTAAACGAAAATTTTATGTACATAATAATAAAGCTTTTGTTTATTACTACGTACATACATGAAATTGCTTCTTAAAACCATTGTAATCATTTTAAAATATTTTCATATTATCTTTAAAAACCTGTTATTATTCAAAGATATATGTAAATGAAGTTTTTATACTGACAGCAATGTATTAATGCTTTTTTGATGTAAGATTTATTTTGAGTATAAAGAAAAAGATTATCTGAAGATTCTAAAAGCAAGGATTTATCCCGGTTCAAACATTGTTTCATATTTATACACAAATATTCATTATTCAGTTTCTCAATTTCAAAAATGTCCATTAACGTTTAATATGTTTAGAGAATAAGATATTCTGAAAAATTATTGTGTATTTAATTCATGATGAAATAAATTTTACTTAAATATAAAATACTGAGATTATAACGATATTTGGCTGTTTATAGAGCTGAGATGTAAATTAATGGGAAAAAAAGGCAATTTGTCATGTTCACATCGCAAAAGACATGTCATCATTCTTCAGGAAAAGTAATCGATGACACCGGTGTCTTTGTTTTTACCTCAGATACGTTTAAGTACAGTTTACTTCAGACTGACACTCGACAGTAAGTATATATAGCGGTAGGGTTTAGGATCGATAAAAAACATGATGCAACATTCGCCCAAAGTTTCATGGATATCATGGTTAGTCTTACTCAACACGTTAAGTATTCAATCAAGATACTTTTATCTGTTAGATACTTCATAAAACAATATTTTTCTAAAATCTAATATTTCTAGATGTAAAATTATAAAAAATGGAAAAACTACAATAATAATAAATTGATAGAGATTCTGACATGAGAGTTGAAATAAAAGAATAAAAAAACATAAGAAAATACATAACGATTGGATATGTAAATAAATATTTTTTATTCGTTTTATAATTTTTTAATTTCACGAATATAACATTTTGTTAATATCTCTATTTAAATAAATATATTGTAAATTGAAAGTTAAAAAGTTAAGAAAAAATAAATAGTAAAGTAAAATAAAATTGCGTGTGAAAATCCGTTAGATTGAAACTGTAGGGCGAAACTGTAGGGCGAAACTGTAGGACGAAGCTATAGGGCGAAACTATAGGGCGACCGTTTCGTGGAACATTGTCGGGATGTCTGATTCAAAGCGAATTCGTTTGGGAACCGGTATCGAAGTAGGGGCCCTAGATAATACCGGCTTGAACAAATCACAAAGCCTCTTCTTTCAGGAACATATAATACACGTGTGCACACGTGTATGCGTGTATACTCACACACACACCACACACACACGCGACGCACACACGATTCTGTTGCGTGTCGCGTGTATTTCTCCAGCAGCTGAAGCAGTACGAGTGCCAGCTTGACGCATTATGGCTTTAGATCAGAGGGGTACTTCATATGTAAAATTCGTGAAACACAACAGTAGAATCTTGTAGAAAATTACGGCAGTTCAAATAAATATTTATAACTTCCAGACTTCATTCAAAAATTCCATAGTTTCAAAAATTACTTGCGGGGTATAAATGATTTTATTAAATTAGCATATTAATTATGCAGCGAGACATAGGCCCGTATTCAGAACGGGCTTTTCTCGATAAAAAACTGTTATACTTAAAAATTTTATAGTACACGTAACGTAAATGCGGGCCGTAATTTTTAATTCGGAAAGTCGGACAAGTATTCTTATAATTATTTCCTATTTTTAGTTC